TGTATGTGGTGGTGTGTGTGTGGTTGTGTGTGTGTGTGGTTGTGTGTGTGTGTGTTTGTTTGTGTGTGTGGTTGTGTGTGTGGTTGTGTGTGTTCTGTGTGTGGTTCTGTGTGTGGTTCTGTGTGCGGTTGTGTGTGTGGTTCTGTGTGTGGATCTGTGAGTGGTTCTGTGAGTGGTTCTGTGAGTGGTTCTGTGAGTGGTTCTGTGCGGTTCTGTGTGTGGTTCTGTGTGTGGTTTTGTGTGTGTGTGTGTGTGTGTGTGTGTGGTTCTGTGTGTGTGGTTCTGTGTGTGGTTCTGTGTGTGGTTCTGTGTGTGGTTCTGTGTGTGGTTCTGTGTGTGGTTCTGTGTGTGGTTCTGTGTGTGGTTCTGTGTGTGGTTCTGTGTGGGTCTGTGTGGGTCTCTGTGTCTCTGAGTGTCTGTGTGTCTGTGTGTCTGTGTGTCTTTGTGTGCGTGTGCGTGTGTGCGTGTGTGTGTGTGTGTGTGTGTGGTGTGTGTTGTGCGTGCGCGTGCGCGTGCGCGTGCGCGTCGCGTGTGCGCGTGCGCGTGCGCGTGCGCGTGCGCGTGCGCGTGCGCGTGCTGCGTGCGCGTGCGCGTGCGCGTGCGCGTGCGAGTGCGAGTGCGAGTGCGAGTGCGAGTGCGAGTGCGTGGGTGGGTGGGTGGGTGGGTGCGTGTGTGGGTGTGTGTGTGCGACGGAGGACGGAGGACGGAGAGGAGAGGACGGAGAGGACGGAGAGGACGGAGAGGACGGAGAGGACGGAGAGGACGGAGAGGACGGAGAGGACGGAGAGGACGGAGAGGACGGAGAGGACGGAGAGGACGGAGAGGACGCGGAGGTCGCGGAGGTCGCGGAGGTCGCGGAGGACGCGGAGGACGCGGAGGACGCGGAGGACGGAGAGGACGGAGAGGACGGAGAGGACGGAGAGGACGGAGAGGACGGAGAGGACGGAGAGGACGGAGAGGACGGAGAGGACGGAGAGGACGGGGAGAGGACGGGGAGAGGACGGGGAGAGGACGGAGAGAGGACGGAGAGGACGGAGAGAGGACGGGGAGAGGACGGAGAGAGGACGGAGAGAGGACGGAGAGGACGGGGAGAGGACGGAGAGAGGACGGAGAGGACGGAGAGGACGGCGAGGACGGAGAGGACGGAGAGGACGGAGAGGACGGAGAGGACGGGCAAAATCAACAAGAACACCACATAATGATGTGGGGAACGGGCATCCTTGAAATTCTGCTCTGCTTATACTCCCATATGTATCGCGCACATGAACATGAACAGTAACACCTCAGCAACACGAATCCCCAGTGCAACTCCTGCTGTCTTTGCTGTCCTGGCACCGAGGTTGTGATTCGGAGAACATTCTTTGACACACTGACTCTGCCTGACTCTGCATGACTCTGCTCTCCTCAAGCTGCTCTCAGTAAATTAACAGTTTGCTCACCCGTATCACACCGTCACAGTTTGTTGATTGCCTGCCGCTGATCTTTGCCTCGCGAGCACGAGTGAACAATTCGAGACTTCGATAAAACTTAGACCTTTGCAAAAATCTGACAATGAAGAAATGGAGATGTGGAGACGGTGCGAAATGTTTGAGGAAAGGGTGCATTTTTGTTGCTCGGTCCGCACTCTGCTCAGTGGTTTTCTCTGTGGTTTGCAAGGTTTGCACAATTTGCACCTGTCTGCAGCGAGGCGGAAGAGCGCAGCTCCGTCCTGGAGGTGGTGCACCGGCAGAGGGAGAGAGATGGAATGAGAGAGAGAGAGAGGAGAAGAAAGAGTGCATGGAAAAACTAGTAAGAAGAACACAAGAGCGCATCAGGGAAGGGAAGAAGAGAAGGGGGCACAACAGTTCCTAAGTCTCTCCGTGTGCTTACACCAGTTCTCGGATTGGGGATGGCGCGCTTAGCCCTAGCCACCCTGGTACAAAGGCTTTTGAACATAATTTGGAGTCACAGCACTGTGCGAATGCGCGAATGTGCTGAACAAGCATGCTACTGAAACAAGTAGCTACGCCGAGGCTACGAAATCGTTAGCTACATTTTTTGGGGTGGAGAGAGCGCGAAGAGAAACGAGGAAGAGCCAAACGAGAGCGGATGGCAGAGTTGGAGGCACTTTGGAGAGTTCCCCGCGGAGGGTTCCCCCGGAGGCCCTGACGGGTTGCCCTGACGGGTTTCCCTGGAGGGTTGGCTCCTGGTTTCGCGGTGGATCTCCCGCAGAAGTTCCTGAAGGGCTCAGATTAATGATCCGCTGCTCCATTCCAATTCCGCTTCCTCTCTCAACTCATTCTTCTCCTTTCTTCTATCAGATTCTATCTTCTTTCTCTCATCTCCCACATTCTCCAAATCTCTGGGGCACGCGGCCAGCAGGGGCGCCAGCTCCTGCAGCGATCAGTGTGCCCCCATGTGCCCCCACACACTGTGCACGGAGAGCGCGCGTTCCCTAAAACACAGAGACACACAGGGTGCACCTTTTTTTTGGGTCTCTCCGCATGCTGCCCTCGGCCCTTACGGCCTGGCTCTCTGGCATCAATTGTGTTTTCGTTCTTTTTTCACTTGTAGGAGGAAAAGATAGTGCACAGATGTTCCGGAGAGCATTGCTCTCGGAACACAGACCGCTACATAGACCGATTAGACCGCTGCGGTCCAACTGGGAGCTTCCCAGAGCCAAAAGCACAAAATGGCGAGGGCAAGGTGACACCATGGTGACACCTCTTGGTGACACCAAAGTGACACCAAAGGCCTCTCTGATCTCGGCATATCTCTACGGCTGGTGGAGAAGGATCGGGGCGTCAGACCTCGACGTTCGTCGTTGCTTTCCACGCCTCAAAAGTGCAAAGCAGACGCGCAGTGCATCGAACAAGAGAGGGCCAGGGATGCTTTTGCGAAGTGTCGAGGCTTCGTGCTTCGTGCTTCGTTCCTCGTTCTGTTCGCTCTGTTTACGTCTTCTTTGCCTGACATGCTCCGCGCTCCGCGTTCATGAATTGCCCGTGGGGGTAAAGGTGGCTCCGAGGATTCAGGATGGCACACACCTCAGCTCAAGAGCTGGTCTCCTCATTATCAACCTCAACAGCTCGAGGTCCAAAGTCCAGACCCAAACTGCATGGGGGGGTTTGGCTGCGCAGTTGTCACCCGAAACTCCGAACGAATCCGCAAAGCCGTCATTGCCAATGGGTTTAATCTCGTTCGGGATCATTCTTGCCAGAGCAGGTTTAAAGAAAGGCTTTGCACCCAGCTGCTCAATGTTGTTCTTTCTTCTTCGCCTTCTGGAACAAACATGTATACAAGCTCCAAGCATGTTTCTGTTTGCTTTCAGCTTGTGTTCATTACTTCTCCTCATCTTAGATGCAGGGAGGGTAGCAAACGAGCTATGGGCTGCTTGCCAACATTGTCTCCAGATTCTCCTCTTCCCTACGCCTGGCTTTCTAGGCCCCCTGTTCTATGTCCAGAATGCATCTATTCCGACAGGCAGAGGGCAAGGGCGGTGCCACGGTGCGAACCCCAACACCTCAAACCTCTCCGGCGTTCTAGGAGAACTCATGCACAATGGGCTGTAGCATGAGCATATGAGGATTACACTCAGAATGAAGAGGACTGACAAACAAGACTACGGATATGCAATCCCTATGAGAAGGGCGCGGACCCGAAGGTCAATTTACATGAGCACAGCATGACTTCAGCTTGGGATAAAGGTGTGAGAGGCGTGTGAGGGGCGTGTGAGGGGCGTGTGAGGGGCGTGTGAGGGGCGTGTGAGGTTGTGGGTCCCTTGCTTCCAAGCGTGCGTCCCCCAATCTTAACCACTGCTCACTCAGAATCTAGAGGATGCCCCCGAGGTGCCGTGGGGTCGATCCGCTTCATCATGGCCTTGATCTGCTTCATGGGGCCGACCTCGTAGAACCTCTCAGAAAAGACAGAAGTGAAGAGTTCTCTCACTGTTCTCACAAGAGAGCGACTCTCCCCGCGACTCTCCCGGCAACTCTGCCCGCTCCCTATTCTGTGGCATCTTTCCCTCTCCTGTGAGTAACATGTGAGCTCCGGGCTCGCTCACGCCTTCCTTCAGGATGGCCTTCATGGAGTCCTCCCAGAGCACCGGGTTCGTCAGCTGCCTGGCCGAGCTTTTGAGCCTCTCTCTCAACTCTAGCATTCCTCCCCTCAGCCCTGACCGCCTCTTCAGCAAAGCCACGATCTCCTTTGGATCCGTGCCAGGACGAATGGGCTGCGCCGAGGCGTTCATCCACACCTACTCCGGTTACGTCAGACCGTGCACAGACTGCAGCTTTGCCCCACTGTTGCCTCAATGGCCAAGGCGGCCAAGCTGCTGTATGCATGGGGGGCTTCATGTTCGGCAGCGTCTCTTCCAAAGCTGCAGAGAGCTTGTCCTGCAGAGGTCCCGATGCCAGTCTCTGTCTCGCACTGTCACGCGTCGCAGTGCACTTGAGCTTCCGGCTTCGCTCAGCACTCTCAGCACTCAAAGAAGTTCCAAGAAGTAACAGCAGCACATGTCAGGCTAGGTTCCCAAGCAAAGGACAAACGCTCGCTGAGCGGTTGCTTAAGATGAGATAAAGGAGCGAGAGTAGGGAGCGAGAGAGCGTGAGAGAAAGCGAGAAAGACGGAGAGCAGTCCGGAAGAGCGACGCGGCGCAAGAATCTATTGGCAAGTCTCAAGTTGACTGCGCTTTCAACGACCGCAAGCCAGTTTCCAAGCAAGCTTCTCAGCATTCTGCTCTGTCCTGAGCCGGCTGCATCAAGGAAGTGTGGAAGGCACCTGCTGTCTTCAGCACCTTTGCCTCTCGGGTGCCGCGCTCTTGTCAACCAACGAAGACTAAATAAAACTTATTAAACGCACGAAACGAGCTCAAAAAGGGCACCTAGAGCACATGAAGCACACGCTGTCATGCACTGCAGTCATCTGCATGCACTCTCCCTTCCTGAAGCGCGCCGTTCTTCTCAGCAAGCTCCTTCAGCAGCGTAATGGCCTGTCGAGGGCGGAAGAAAGAAAAAGTGTGAAACAACCAACAGAAAAAAAGGGGAAAAGGGGGCCAAAAATGGCTTCTCTCTCTCTCTCTCTCTCGGTCTCTCTTTTGCGAAGTGAAGGCTGCCCCCACGCCAGAGGCTTTAGAGGCTTGGAGTCGGCTGTGGCAGAGAAAGAACAGAGCCAGAGCGCGGAAGAGCGAGCTCAGGCTCGCTCTCTCCTTCTGAGCTCCTCTCTTTCTTGGAGATCTCCCGAAGAGCTCAAACTTCGAACTCGCCGGGTGAATTTTGACTCTCGCTTTTTTGGGGAAGGGGTTGTGCTCCTTTCTTTTGAAGTCTCCTCCGAACTTCGATTCACCGAGTCTCCGTGTGTTACCGCCCGTCGCAGACAGCTTATAATACAAACACCCTCGAACGCAATCGGTGCTGGGTTACAGTTGGGGATGGGGCTTTGGGGCTGCTCTTAGCGGCTTTCGGCCAGCCGCTGGCAGCGCGCTGGAACCCTGCTCTTCTGGCTTGTGCTTCGGGCCTTCGGAAAGAATGGAAAAAGAATGATAAAAACAGAAACTCCGATATCTCAACGATCTGCAAAGCGTAGGGCATGTGGCAGCTATCTTCGGTGTTCGAAAGGCAGCTCAAGCCATCAAGAACTCAAGCATATGACATAATCTTACATATGTGGCGATGCAGCTGTTACAAAGCACATCATTGCGGTCGTGCCAGGTGCCTTCTCAGTGCCGCCGATGGAAAAGCCTTGAGGGAAGAGGCAGTTTGCAACGGAGCACACCCCTCCATCCTGGCGAGTCGATGTCAAGCGAGAAAAATTCGGAAGCAGAGCCGGACAAAGTTCGGGTCAATTCGGGTCAATTCGGGTCAATTTTGTTGGGAGCATGCAGAGCCCTTCCTGAGCTAGGCGGGGCCTCCTTGGCCGCCGCCTCACGGCACAGCGCATCCATCTTACCGCGCTCCAAGCCGGCAACCGAAAGCATGAGCTGCTTCTTTGCACCCGACCTCTGGAAAAAAGACAGCCAAGAATTGACAAGTACATTGCAAGTGCATTGCGGCACGACTGCGGCACGACTGCGGCACGACTGCGGCACGACTGCGGCACGACTGCGGCACGACTGCGGCACGATTGCGGCAGGGTGTGTCGGAAGGGGCCCAGACGTTGCAGCCTCCTGCATGGCCTCACCCCGAAGCTTCACAAGCTTCAAGCCATCTTCGAAAGTCATCACACCCGCAGCGCACAGGGCCGTATACTCACCTCGGAAAAATTGAAAAGCGAGTGCAAACGGTGTGCATCGAGGTGCGGTCTGCGCCATCGCGTTTTAATTGGAAGCTACAGCGCTCGCCTAAGGAGAGGCCAGCCATCACCGAAGCTCGCGACACGGCCTCCGTGTCTTTCCATCGAACACTCTGTTGCAAAAAGAACAGTCCCTGTTTGAATGCGACGCTGTCAGTCTGCCATCAACCTCTCAGACTCTCTATGTACTCGATGTCGACGGGCAAAGGGAGTAAAGGGAGTGACGATTGCCTCGGGCTTGTCCATTTTCAGCTTCTCGAGGCCAGCGAGGCCGCCAAGGAACATTGCCGGTTGGCAAAATCTCGTCTCCTCCAACTTCTCCTCGGGGCCGTTCAAACAGATCTCCAGCAAGTCGTAGCCCAAGATGGGCTTCGACTTCTCCAGCATCTCCTGAACATCTGAGAATCTGAGAACATATGAAAGAGCGCAGATTCCCAAAGGGAAATCAGTGAGCGAGAAAGAGAGAGAGGGAGAGATGGCATTCTTCTTGCGCTGGCAGAACAAAGTCCACGCTGCGTCTCCTTCACTGCACCGATCTCCATGACCTTCTCGAGCATCTTCACCTGAACCAATATGACAAACACTTTTGGGACAGACAAACAAACAGAGCGCGGAGAAACTTCTGAAAGGTCTTTCGATGCCGCAAACAGACGCCAAATGAGGGGGCCAAATGTGCTCGGAGTGGCGTACTGAGATCCTTGACCCGGGAAGAAAAGACCGATGGGCAAAGGAGCCTCAAAAAGATGCGCAACTCCCGAGAAGTGGAATTCATGCTGCATCATGTTGACATCGGAATGGAATGCAGGGCGACGCAGGGTCGCATCTCATGGCGCAGCTGCAAAGCCTCCCCCTTCGGGCCCACGGACGTCGGAGGAGGGCTTGAGACGGGAGCTTTGTCGGTCTTAACAGCCAGGTCCTTGTCCTTCAATTTGATGCTCACCTGAGGCGATTGGCTGCTACGAGGCACTTCGCCAGGGCGCTAGGCACTTCAGGAACTGGATGGCTTTGTAACAAAATGTTTGACTCAAGTCGCCCAGCCATCGGCCGGGCCGGTGCCGACGGCCAGCTTGTAGTGCAGGCGGTCACCTTTCAGCTCAATCTCCTCCACAAGCGCGCCAGTGGAGAGGCGGTCCTCCAACTGGTTGGACTTCGTCGTCTCACCGTCCCTGCACAGTCCATGCCCCTCAGCATAGTGCAAAGCATCTGCATTTCAAGCACCAAGGAAACCTGCCTAACAATGATACCGCCCTTGTCAGCGCCGCCCACGATCTCCCACATCTGCACCATGCTGTTGCCCGGGCTGTGGCCGTTGAACCCCCTCGTTGACGTGGCGCTGAGCCAAGTGGCGAACCCCGTTCCAGTTCCCCCCCCTACACTGGTAAGCAAACAGTTCTTCATACTTCGCAGGCATATCTCTTTAAGTCATTTCTCCCGTTCACGCTCCTTGCGGAGCTCTGTAGGCATGGCCTCCCGCAATGCCTGGGAGGCTCGAGCAAAGAGAAAAAAGAGGACATGCAGCACATGCTTTGGTGCTGATGCTTTGAGGCATCGGCCAAGAAGAGTTTCTGGACTTCCTGGGCAACGGCTTCCTGTGCCTGGGCGTGACACTGGCGTGACGCAGAGTAGCATTTAAGCATTTGGTGATTAGCGGTCAAGCCAGAGGGGACGTCATCCTGGCAACAGCCCGAACTAAGCCTTGAACTCTACCAAGAACGAAGCCTTGAACGAAGCCTGTTAGAGTCCTTTCGATACCAGTGAGGAATGGCCGCAGCGGTCCCTGGCGATGCGTCCTTTGTGTGTACCGTACCGAGAGAAACCTGCCACGCCGGTCTCAACGAGCCTCGAGGACGGCGCTGCGGAGGGAGTCGCTGAGCTGCTCCTCTCTGGAGAGAAAACAGAATCTCGGATGTTCGCAATCCTTCCTGTCCCTATTGAGCCTCTCCGAAGACTTCTTTGCACAACTGAGTCCAAGCAGCTTTAGCTGGGGATTCTTGATGGCTTTGAAAGAAAGGGTTTCTGTTACGTTCATTTGGAGTTTTGTCGTTCGTCTCCCTTGGTGAAATTCAGCAGACACTTGACGCGGCGACGCTGGATGCTGCGATGCGCGCCTGGGACTGTTGTCTCCAATCGTTTCCCCATCAGATTGAACGCCAGTCCGAGGCTAACTGGGTTTGTGTGGAAAATGACACCTCGCAACCTTCATAGCTGTCGAGAAAATGCAGCTGATACCTTTGACAAACTCAGCCCCCCCGCCAGTCCAAAGATTGAACTGGGGCGCAGCTCACGGTCGTGAAATAGATCAAACAAGTCAAGATGATTCAAGATGTTTTGGCCATGCTCAGGCGTGAAGGATCAAAACCCACTGGTAGAGATCAAAAGAATTTGCCCCAAGCCACATCAAGAAAAATTCTTGATAGAGATAAAGAATGAATAAGCAATGAAACGCCAGGCAACGCAGCAATTCTGGCTGTTCGTGGGCTGTAAGTGCTCAAAAATGCTGCATTTCTGACCGTTCGCAAGCGTGAAAGGCTGAAAAATGCGGCATTTCTGCGTGTTGGAGAACTGCAGACGCTATTGAGTACAGCATTTCTAACTGTTCCACGGCTCTAGCCCATTTGCAAACACAATGCTTGTGTGACGAGCTTCAAAACAACGATTCATATGATTGAAGCAAGCTTGCATGCCTCAAAAAAAAGCGGGGGGTTGGGGAGACGCACCCCCGCACATTTGCAAACACAATACTCGCACAAGCTTTTAAAAAGCGGGGGGGGGGCGGTTGGGCGGGGCACAGCCCGCCCACCCCATTTGAAAACACAATGCTCGGATGATGGGTTTCGGAACACATATGCTCTGAAGAGAGCTTGCACGGCTTCAAAATGCCGGGGGTTGGGGGGGGGGGGGGCACCTTCCCCCATTTGCAAACACCGTGCTCGCATAACGGGCTTCAAAAAGAGTCATATGCCTTGAAGCAATGAAAAGCAAGCTTGCACGGCTTAAAAAAGCGGGGGCGGGTGGGGTTGGGCAGGGCGCAACCCCCCCCCCATTTGAAACACAATGCTCGTGTGACGGGCTTCAGAACGACTATTACTAGCACTTGTAGTACTAGTCGTACTGGCAGTACTAGTCGTAGAGAGTTAGCACTAGTAGGATAGGCGGGTCACTTGTGACTTCTGTCGGGTGCCACTTGTGACTTCCCGAGAGGCGCCTCACTTGTGACTTCTCTCGGGTGTCACCTGTGACTTCTCTAGCCGGCCAATTTGCAACACCTCTCAGCAAAAATGCATGAAATCACTTGTGACTTCTCTGCCTTGGGATCGGGTTTCATCGGGTTTCAGCCTTGCATCTTGGACTTCTTCGCACGGGCTGCGGTTTGGGCTCAGGGTTCAGACGGTCATGGGATTGGGGTCTAGCCTCAAGGTTCAGGGTTTAGGGTTCACGGTTTCGGGTTTACGGCTGTAGGGTTTGGGGGTTTTGGGTTTAGGGTTTAGGGTCTGGGGTTTAGGATTCACGGTTTAGGGTTTAGGGTTTAGGGTTGAGGCTTTAGGGTGACCGTTAGGATTTAGGGTTGAGGGTTTATGGTTTCGGGTTTCGGGTTTTCGCGGTTTGGGCTTAGGGTTCACACGGTCATGGGATTGGGGTCTAGCCTCAGGGTTGAGGGTTTAGGGTTCACGGTTTAGGGTTTACGGCTTTAGGGTTTGGGGTTTAGGGTTTAGGGTTTACGCTTGAGGGTTTAGGGTAACCTTTAGGTTGCGAGTTTAGGGTTTCGGGTTTAGGGTTTAGGGGTTAGGCTTTTGCGGTCATGGGATTGGGGTCTTGCCGTCCTGCCTCAGGGTTGAGGGTTTAGGGTGCACGTTAAGGGTTTGCGGTTTTAGGGTTTAGGGTTGAGGGTTTAGGGTTTACGGCTTTAGGGTTTAGGGTTTAGGGTTTGGGGTTTCGCGTTTAGGGTTAGGGTTTAGGGTTTGGGGTTAAAGGTTTAGGGTTTAGGTTTTCTACAAGGAACAATATATACACGCACCAAGTACAAACGCGACTCAGATGGATGCGACACGGAAACAGTATATACACGTACCAAGAACAAACGCGACTCAGATGGACGCGACACGCATCCTAAGCACATAACCATTCTAAACGTATGAGTTTCGGTTGATTGGACGGTTTTAGGGTTGAGGGCTTCTAAGGGTTTCTAGCGGTTCACATCCTGGACGAATGGGGGCCAGAGGTATGGGCCCACAACCCTACACACTTGCTACACCTCTGCTGCCTGAACACTACGGACCCCTTGTCCTAAACCCCCTTGGCCCATTCCCGGAGTTCTTAGTCCGTCCTCTACAATTCTTATTTTAAAACTTGATGTTTTAGTTTTGATGGATTGTTTGTGTGAGGGTTTTCCCGCTGTTTTGGAGGGGAGGAAGTGGAAGAGGGAGGAGAAGGGAGAGGAGAGCGAGGGAGGGCCGCCAAGGTAACCAAAGATCCACAAGTAACGACACTGCAGCATTTTGTAAGGGCAGAGACGGAGAAGTCACAAGCGACACCGGCACAGAAGTCACAAGCGACACCCGATAGAAGTCACAAGCGACCCCTCTACCCACTAGTAGTACTAGTAGTACTAGTAGTACTAGGACTAGTAGTACTAGTAGTACTAGTAGTACTAGTAGTACTAGTAGTACTAGTAGTACTAGTAGTACTAGTAGTACTAGTAGTACTAGTAGTACTAGTAGTACTAGTAGTACTAGTAGTACTAGTAGTACTAGTAGTACGAGTAGTACGAGTAGTACGAGTAGTACTAGTAGTACTATGTGAAGTCGACCAGCACTGGACTTGCACTAAGCCAATGCAATCACAGCCCGGTCACGCTGTTTTACGACTTCGTGAGTCCAAGCACTTGTGCAGCTACGCCTGAGTGCGTCCGGTCGGACCGCACAGCAACCTAGGAGCTACTGTACGACTCTACCGTGCTCAAAGGCACAAGCTCGGTACTTGAGCCAAAATATTGGCATTGATACGAATTGCAAATCTACACATGCAAAGGAAAACTACAGTACTGGTTCTGGCAGCTCTGCACATGGAACGTGCGTGCTTAGACCTGCTCACATTCGCCCCTCAGCCGAGGCTTCCAGCTCATCTCGAGCTCGGAGTGCAGCAGGCACTCGCGCTGAACACAGAAAGGGAAGGGCGAGGGTGTCGCGTGCGACCATGGTGGTCCGCACATCATGAGCATTGGCATGCGGCAGGGACGCTAGCCCGCACCACCACAACGAACGCACGACGACAGCAACCCTCAGCAGCCCTTAACCACCCTTTCCCAGGAGGTCCTCACCCTTTTGCTGGTGGGCGAGGCTCTTGAATCCTCGAGCTGGTCTCTAGCTGCCAGTACGCAGACTAGGGTACAAACTATGGTACACTGTACACTTCCGGTCCTAAGCTACGGCTACGGCTACTCACCTATCTGGAACTACCCTACGGGCTACCGGACTCAGCGAGAGCCGCGCACATGGCTTGTGCCGCAGGCAATGCAGCTCACACGCGCTTCGGCGAGCGCATTGCCGCGACCAGGACACGGTCCGCAGCACCTGCAAAAGAGCACCCTCAGCACGAGGGGCCACAGGCAGGGCGGAGGAGAAAGGTGCGGGGAATGCAAAATGGGCAGGTTTCCAACCTGCCGCGGCTTTTCGCCCGCAGTCAAGCAAAAGAAAATGCAAAAGGTTGGCGAAGCAACGTGCCGTGCTGCAACGCCTGCTCTGATAATGCGTGGATGCATACCACGCCGCGCCGACTGGCCGCAGCCTACTCGATACCCTGTGGAGCAGTGTTGGGGGCACGAGTGGCGTTGCCAGCAACGTTGGAGCTACTGGCTCGCTCCAACTGAGGGCGCCTTGCGACCGCCTCATCGAGGGAGAATGCCTCAGCCGACACCCTCTGGAAATCCTCGATGTAGGACTGCGCGACCGGGTGCGTCTTGGGGACCTCAAGCCTAAGCCCTGCCTCCGCATTGGCTTTGCTGCTTGTGGTAAAATTGAGGCTCCCAATCAGCACCACCGCGCCATCAGGCCGCAGTAGGCAAAGGGCCTTGGCATGGTGAAGCCCTTGGATCCCGGTACCTACTTTAGCCCCGCGGCCGTCGCGAGCATAGGCGTCGCGCACGGATGTGCCGCAACCCACCTTCACCTCGGCGCCTGCAGCCGCCAAGCGTTTCAACGCTTGCCACTGCAGTTTGGTGCGGTGGCATTGTCCCATGTCGGCGACAATCCGAACGCCTGCGCCCTTGCTAAGCGACGCTTCGATTGCCT